TCCCCAGTGTCTGGGGCCCGCCATGGCCACGCCCCCACGGCCGCGGCCCCTTCCGGACCACGCTCCTTTTCTTGTTCTGGCTCCGCCCTGACCCCGCCCAGGCCCCGCCCTGGGGCACCACAGGGTTGGAGACTCTCATAACTCCCACCTACCTACCCCAGTCCGAGGCTGCGTCCTTTCCCGTCCTCTGCCGCGTCCTTTCCCGTCCTCTGCCTTACTGTCTCCCCCCAACGCCTCCCTGTTCCCCTCCAGGTACGCCCCAGAATCCCTCTCGGACAACATCTTCTCGCGCCAGTCGGATGTCTGGAGCTTCGGGGTCGTCCTGTACGAGCTCTTCACCTACAGTGACAAGAGCTGTAGCCCCTCAGCCGTGAGTCGGCACCCCTGGATCCCCAAGACCCTCCACCCCCCCAACCCCTTCCTGGCCAACACCCGTCCTGTTTATGCCCGCGTCCCTCTCTTGCTCAGGGTCCCCTGGTCCCAGCATTAGAGGCTCCAGTAAGACCCCTTTTCACTATGGCTGACCCCCACCTCCCACACCACCACAGGCAGCCCCTCCCCCATGCATCACAGACAATTCATCCTCCTCCATTAAGGAGGGCCCCTTCCCCCACCAGGGGTGGGTGATTCCCTTCTTCCCTTCACTGTGGCTGACCGCCACATCACGGGCGGCCACTCCCCCTTCCATCATGGATGGCTCCTCCCCCACCTCGGGCCCTCCCCCTTGGCTCCAGGAGTTCCTGCGGATGATGGGATGTGAGAGAGATGTGCCAGCCCTCTGCTGCCTCCTGGAGCTGCTGGCCGACGGCCAGAGGCTGCCCGCACCTCCTGCCTGTCCTGGTGAGGTGAGCACTGGAGGGCCTGCCTCAGTTTCCCACTTTGTAGATTCACCAGGGGACCTGGGCAAGCCTGCTGGTCCCTCTGGGTCTCTCCACCACAGACATCTCTTGATTGAGAGCAGGGACCAGAGCATGAGGCTGAAGGGGATTTCTGGCCTCTACTTTGCTGCTCTCTCACTGTATGGCAAGTCACAAACACTTTCAGGGCCTCAGTTTACCTGTCTCCAAAATGGGAATAACAATGCCTTATAGGGTGGGAGAGGATCAGATTAGCTAACATCTCTCCATTGCTCAGCTCTGAGCCTGGCATACAGTCGGTGCTCAGTAAATGATGGTGGCTCTTACAGTTTCTCATCACAGCTTTTGTGGAAGTGTCTGACATGTGGTTGGTTATTCACAAATTAATCTGTTCAGGCCACAAACATTTATTGAGCGCTGACTGTGTGCTGGCTCTGTGCTGGGTGCTGGGGACCCAGCAGGGGACAGAAGAGATACTACCCCTCCTCCCTGTAACCGGCAGACGCTAACAAGAACATTCTGGTGGTGATCAATGTCTGGAAAGAGATGGGGGTGTGTGTGGTCAGGGATGGCTTCTTAGAGGGGGTGAAGGAGGAAGAGGATCTTACCCATGGGGAAAGCTGGGAGAGGGCATTCTCCGTGGAGCACACAGCAGGTGCAAAGGCCCTGAGGTGGGAATGAGTTTGGTATATTTACAAAATGAGATGGGGGCAGATGTGGCTGCATGGAACAAGAGAGGAGGTGATGGAGGTGATGGTAGAGGGAGGGAGGCAGGGGAAGTGATGAAATTTTGTTCTAAGATCCATAGGGAGCCATGGGAGGCTTTGGAGCAAGGGAGGGATGGAGTCTAATTTCTATTTTAAAACTGTGAACAGGAGTCATGTCCTTCCTACCACTCACATGTGACCCTGTTGTCTCTTCCCACCCCCTCAGGTTCATGAGCTCATGAAGCTGTGCTGGGCCCCTAGCCCACAAGACCGGCCACCATTCAGCACCCTGGGCCCCCAGCTGGATGCACTGTGGAGTGGAAGCCAGGGATAGTGTCCAGAGGCATGAGACCCTCACCTGCTTGTCTAGAGGGAGAACCCCATTCTCTGTCTTTTTTATATGTCCTGCACACAGACCTCTGGGTTCTGGTCTCCATGGACTGGCTGTGTGACATTGATCAGGGACCTACCCCTCTCTGGACCTCCCGCTTCAGAGACACCCTCATGGGGCAAATGACATTGCACTTGGGGGAGCACCCCTGGCTTGTAGAGCAACAGCAGCCTTGTAGCATTGGGAACTTGTAAAGATTCAAGACAGACGCAATGGTGGGGTCTACTGAGCGCCCCCCCCCCAGAATTGAGGGACCAGAGTTAAGTCCCCCCGATCTTCTCAACCTCTCAGGGCCTGGCCTGGAGCTTCCTGTCTCATTTCCAGAGGAGACATTATATAGCTTTAAATATGTGATCTCAGGTTTCTATTCCCCACTCCCTCTTTAGCTGGAGGAAGCCAAGGACAAGAGAGCTGCCCTGGCTGAAAATTCACTTTTTTGGGGGAGTCTGTGTGACTGTTTAGAATTGTGTAAGAGACCAGGAGAAGCTGATGTCCCACTCCACCCTAACTGAACCTGAGTGTCCCAGGGCTTCATTTCCTCCCTGTACGCTGGGGCCCTTTCTGTCTGGACCAGAGGGTCACATAACTGATGACAATGGAGCCTAACAGGAGTTTTTCGGCGGGTGAAGGAAAGAAAGGCATTCTTGGCAGAGGGAACAGCATGGTGAAAGGAGGAGGCTCAGAGTACAGAGGTTAAGAGCATAGGTGTTGGAGCCCATGGTTCTGCCACTTATTTGCTGTGTGATGGTGGGAGAGTTGCTTCCTCTCTCTGGGCCTCAGTTCCATCCTCTGTATAATTGGCAATAGTGTTGGCCTTTGGTTATACAGAATCAACTTCTGGAGGCTTGTGAGAAGCCATCTTGTGCAGGTTAAGCTTACCCCACCACTCCTTCACACCAGTCTGCAAGGTTTTTCTGCCACTTTTTGCCTCCCTGGAAAACTCTTATTCATCTCTCAGAACCCTAGCTATCACCTCCTTGCAGCGTTCCCTAGCGTTCTCCCACCACTCCCAGTCAGCCCTGTACTTCTGATCCTAGGACTGGGGTGGTGTCTGCGTCCAGCTCCATCTCTTCTGACGTGGAGGCTCCTTGGGGGCTGGGCTGGGCACAGAGGGAACTCTGGGAGTATTTGTTGAATGAATAAAGAAGTTCAGTGAAAAGGATGGTTTGTTGCTGGACTTGGGCAATGGGGATCCTTGGGGGGGTGTGAGCCGGGGAGGAATGTGCTTAGGGCTGGGGGATAGAGACCCCTGGGGGCCACAATGGGAGCCTCAGGGCAGGCTGGGGGTGGAGGGACAGGAGGATGGGGCCCTCGAGGACAGAAGCCCTCCCCCCAGCCCCAGCTGCTGGCCTTGTCACTGTCCTGGGGGAGCTGATTACAGGCTCTTGGTGGGTGGAGGGAACAGACTGCTCTAGTGGGGGCCAGAGAGCAAGGCCTGGTTGGGAGGGTTAGGCTATGGGGAGGGGTCCAACATTAGTGGGGGCCAAACCAGTCCCTCGTTTGCTCCTTAGCACTGCTGGAAAGATTTGGAGAGTGACAGAGACAGAGAGAGAAAGGCCAAGAGAGACTCAAGAGAGAGACAGAGATCTCTGTGCCTACTGTCGTAGCCTGCTTTGGTGAAAAGGGGGAGGGGCTGCAAGGCAGGGTTTTCAGCTCAGGGTCTCACCCACGTTGGGTTGAGTAACCTCCCTTTCTGCCTTAGTTTCACTCCTTGGTAAAACTGGCACCCAGACTGGCACCCGGTAGAGGCCCTCCATCCCCTGCCCAACCCAAGGAGACCCTGATGTGGGAGAGGCAGAACCGACCAAGACTCGCAGCCCCAGGGCCCATCCTCTTGTGACCTTGGGCAAGTGTGGGGGACCTCTCTCTGAGCCTCAGTTTCCTTATTTGTCCACTAATAAGGACAACAAGGTTCTGAATGGCCCTGGTCTCAGTTGGCTGGATGCCCACTGCCACCATCCCATGGAATTATTATTTCTCAGTTTATCTATTTCTCCTCTTTAAAATGGTTAAAAAATAAAGACTCCTCAACCAGTGGTCCCCCTGGGAGAGATACGCCCAAGGCCCTGGCCCAGGGAGAGAGACCACGGCTGTTTTGTATGGATCTCGGCCTATCAATAATCAATGTTGGGCTTCCCTGGTGGCACAGTGGTTAAGAATCCGCCTGCCAATGCAGGGGACACGGGTTCGAGCCCTGGTCTGGGAAGATCCCACATGCCGTGGAGCAACTAAGCTCAAGCGCCACAACTACTGAGCCTGCCCTCTACAGACCGCGAGCCACAACTACTGAGTCCATGCACCACAACTACTGAAGTCTGCGCGCCTAGAGCCCGTGTTCTGCAACAGGAGAAGCCACTGCAATGAGAAGCCCGTGCACCGCAATGAAGAGAAAGCTGCCGCTCACCGCAACTAGAGAAAGCCCGCACACAGCAACGGAGACCCAATGCAGCCAAAAAATAAAATAAAATAAAAATAAATTAATTAATTAATTAAAAAAATATCAATGTTGTGGCTGGACCGGCCCTTGAGTTCTTATTATGATTGAAAGATGCCATTCAGCAATAACCATCAGGAAACTTTGAGAAAATAAAGGTTTATTACTTATAAATTACACAGCACACCTGGAAATTACACAGCACTCCCGGGGCCACAGAGCAAGGTCCTGGGTAGAGAGAGCAGTGTGGGTCTGGGGTCCTGCTTTCATTGGGGTCAAGGGTGGGAGCCTAAGAGTTCGTGGGCTCACTCTTTATTGGTGAATTTAACATAGGTTGGAATTTAAAGCATAAGAAGAGAAAACAAAACAAGCAACCAAGTGGCCCAAGTGGTAAGTGACTGAAATCAGCTGAGATGTGTAAAACAAAGGTGCCTCAGCCGGAGGAGGTGGCCTGACCCTTTACCTAGTCACGTTTATTGGGGAGCCATCTATGAAGCCAATGCCTCCGCAATCAAAGGTTGTCAGGCACTCATATCATAAAAAAAAGGAAACCCAACTATCAGGGGTTCCAGTATGTTTGCCCTGACCCTGCCCTTGACCTTCTCCCTGGACCATCCTGCAG